ATAGATAGATAGATAGATAAATAGATATGAAACCACTCTGGTTGAAAATTCAGTGAGTTCTGTTGATTTTATTTGTGAACACATGTCCATAAACATGGCTTGCCCATAAAAATATAACAGCACATCCAAGGATAAGAGTCAACCTTCAGGTGACTTTTAAAAATGCAGTTTTTAAAAGATTGTGTTGTATAGAATGCATCTTGTGTAATAATTAAACAAAATCTCTTTCTTACACATCCTTAAGTTGAATTTCACCTTTGCAGAGTAAAGGGTATGGTATGCAGTGGGACGCATACAGTATGAAGGGTGGTAGAGTTTTCAAAACTTTATTTATATTTACACAAACTCAAAGAGAAGGACAACATGTTTTTTAATTGCTGTGTAGTTGTTGCTTTTTGATTTTTTAGAAGAAGCTGAAATGGGGCTGTTAAGCCACGCCCCTGAGAGGTAATGAAGAAAAGTGTCAGCTTCCTTTTAATGAATCAGCCGGGTTCAAAAGCTAATGATGGCTGAGGGAGTATCTGCTGTGTAATAATCACTATCAACATGAATTCTTCTTGTGGCACAGAGTGACTCCACCTCTAGCACCGTCACCAAGTCTAACAGTGTACTCGTATATTAAATAATATACAGTTTGTTTGTAACCTCAACATTGAAGTAGAAGAGCATCCCAGCAGAATGAACCTTTTTTTGATAATCCACAAGTTTTCTTCTTGTGCCACCCTCAGGCTAAGTTGTCAGCCTTCAGTAGCCTTGTAGCCTTTATTCTAGCAGCATGCTCAGGGCAATTTTTTGAACTTTTCATGGTAAAGCATTTTCTTCTTTTAAAGTGTTCTGTACAAATCAGGCTTGGCGCCATCGTTTTATCCCTGGCACTGCTAAGACTGTGAGAAAACCTAAATCATGAGCAGGTTCTTTGTTTTTTCCTATATTGTGACGAATAAAGAACATGACGATCTTTAGTGTCTGCACACAAATATTTTAGTTTTCTAGTCTGTGAAACAGCCATTAAAGCTACAACATATCAAAACCAATGTTATGTCTTTTGTCAGATTTCCAGAGAAAGCTGTGTCTGTGCTGCGCTCAGGCTGTCTGGAAAGTCTTCTGCTACGCTCCCTTTACACAGACAGGGAATTCTGGGACAGCCACGGCGGGTCCAGCGGTCTCAGGCCTCTCATCCACATGGTGGAGCAGAGAGGGAAAATTCTCCTGCAGCACATCAGGGACAAAAAGCTTCAGCTCAAGAGGGATCTGTGACTGACCTGATCAGGCCAACCTGGATTTTAAAGTAGATGCAAACTGCAGATCCATGAGCTCGAAATCCTATTAGCTGTCGTCAAAGAGAGCAAGAGTCTCTGGAAGAAAAGAAGCCTGCAGAAATGAAATGCATTGTATAATTTAAAGCACCATAGTCATTAAGATTGAAAAGTGCACCGAGGCACAATGAAAACAGATTTAGAATGGTTTTTGCAGTGCAGAGTCATCCAGGGCTTGCATGGTGGAATAAAATATTTAAATGTGTGCAAACAGATCAACAAAGCAACAAAGTGGACTGAAACACTGGGAGCTAAGTGCACTGTCTGGCAGCCCGAGCCCAGCAATTCATGAACATGTTTGACTTTTTCACTTCATAATACGCCTTTCATTCTTCGTTGGTTAGTCTTAGTCTTCTGTAGTATTGGCTGTACAGCAGATACAGTATTTTTAAAAGGTGCAACTGCTTTTAGGTCAGCTGGCCAGATGGACCCCTGTGCTCTTGCATTCTGGTCTGCACTTTGTAAAGATGCTAAAGGGCCCTCGAGACTGACCAAATGTCAGCATGTGGTGCTTTTAGAGTAAGGTTGAGTTGATACAAAGCACTCTGAAACTTTCTAAAGGTATATTGCAATTTGCGTTATTTCACCAAGTCCTACCACAAAAGACAGTTCTGTTTTCACTTAAAGTTTGATGTCTAGGCTTCAAGCTCATCACTCCCACCAAATATGATTCACACAGAAACTAGGGAGTGATGACTAAACATCCTCCATGGAGCCTACAGGTTGATGGAGGTAGAGACCCAGGACAGCAGAGCCATTAATATGTCAGAGGGAGAAATGGGAAATCTGGGAATGGAGGAAGACCGCTAAGGTTTCGGCAGGTATATGACATAAGGAGAGATAGCAGGTGTATAACATAAGGAGAGAGAGTGTGTATGACTTACCAGCCTGAGCTCACAAGCTTCACTCCATTTAATTCATTACAAAATAAAGTCTGTTGTCATGTCTCTGCTTTAGCCTTTTTTGTTGTTATTATTCAGGAAACAGATTCAAAACTAAACCTGAAGGTGTGTCATTGTGCGTACC